CAATGGGAGAGGCCACGACAGTGAGAGGCCCGCATACCAAAAAATAAAAATAAATAAATAAAAATAAAAAATAAAAAAAATAAAAATACCTATAATCTCAAAACCCTAAAACATTGATTTTCATTTTTCGAGCAATTCCAGAATTTCTTATGGGTCAGAGGCTGAAAGTGCATGATTTCTCAAGATCTTCCAAAATAATTGACTTGTTGTCCTTAAACTTGTTTTTCTTTTAGCAAGCAGTTTTCTAGAAATAAGGTGCTCACCAGATTTGGGATATTAGAAAGTAGTTTGGGAGCACTGTAATTTGAGTTAGAGGATAAGAGTTCCGGTTCTGACTCCATCACTGCTAAAATATGTGACCTTGGTCCTCCAAATTCATTATCTGTAAAATGGGAATGATATATGAAAGCTGTCCATTTCCCTATTGTAAAGCTATGTAGTTGCACATGAGGGATTATTATTTGTATTGTCAACATGCTCTGTCTTGTTAACTACTAGGTACCTTCATAGGTCAGTGTCAGGATTCCCAAAGCTTTGCTTTCTTTTGTATTGATAGTTGTAGGCTCCAGTGACTCTGCTCTGCTTCCCTCCTTATAGACTTAACTTCTCACTTCATCCCTAGACACTTTTTTCCTCCTCAGTGCTGGCCAAAGAGTGGGATGTGTTCTTACTAGTCAGTCACCTGCTCCTGTCCCTTGGAGGCACTGTTCACTTTCATAAAACAAGCAGCTCACTGTGGAAAACAGTGGGTAAAAAAATAAACTTCGAACATGACGAAGGTAGTATAATCTTATGAAATTTCTATGGTCATGGTCCCTGAAGCATCATTTGTGAGGTTCTACATATATGAGATGTTGACCTGCTGTGGATAGGGCTCAGTCCTCGCTCTCGCCTCCTTTATTTCCTCCTCCAGTACTCCCTTCCTTAGAAGAAGGACCAAAAAGTCCAGCTTCTAGACCTTTTTTGGGTTTTTTTGGCAATGCCACTCGGCATGTGGGATCTTAGTTCCCCAACCAGGGATTGAACCCCGTGGCCCCACCACCACCACCGCCCTGCAATGGAAGCACGGAGGCTTAACTACTAGACTGCCAGGAAAGTCCAAGAAAGTCCAGCTTCTAGACACAAAGGCTTGAAGAGCCAATTCAAGCAGAATAATGGTTATTATCTTAAGTAGGTAACTTGCATTTCTGAAGCTCTCCTGCCTGTGTGATTCACATCTCAGTGGCCCAGGACATACCCTAACCCCTTTTGGGTATTTCCTGACCAATTATCTCACAGTTTCTGAGCAGCTGTCTAGTCTCAGACACTTAGAATAGCAACTCCAACTCTAGAGGAAAGCAAAAGGTTTATAAAGCACTTTAAAAAAAATCCCTGAGCTTTCTTTAACTGTTCTGTAAGCCCTAATTTCCTTCTGTTTTACATTTTGTCTGGCAAAATATTAAAGTAAACATTTTTTTAAAAAAGAGAAGCTTATACACCTTCCTGATAGCTTTCCCTTTACTCATTTTTTACCAACATTTAAAGTGTTATCCTGGGTTATCTAATGGCTATTCCAATTGGCTTTTCTATGGAGAGTACGTTAACCAGAAATGGCTGAGACATTCCTAATTGTCAACTATCCTCCTTGTGCAATTTGACTAAAATATTTGTGATATGGGTGGGACAAAAAGTATTTTTCAGACTCCTTGATTATTGCTATTAAATAATATTATTTTATATTATAATATTTTGCCATTAAATAACCACTCTTATTCCCATAATCATTCATTCACTGGACATTAGCACATTGTATGGAGGAAGTACTCTGCTAAAAGAAAGGGATACAGAGAAGAACAAGACGAGGTAACTATTGTGGAGCTCACCTTATGGTAAGGGAAACAGACAATGCCTGTGTGCCAGGTACTGTTTTAAACATTTGAACACATATTAAATTGATAAATCCTATGAGCTGGTACTATTATTATTCTCATTTTACAGTTAAGGGAACAAAGGAAAACTTGCCCAAAATCTTATTGTTAAGAAGTTGCAGAACCAGGATATGACCCTAGGCAATGTGATATATGGACTAGAAGGGGAAGTGGCTGCGAGTTGAAGGTCTAGGTTTAAGAGATATTTCTGAAGTAGAATTTATGCTGCTGATAACCAATTGGCTGGAGATGGAGAGAGAAGGGTCAAAGGTGACTGACCCTCAGTCACTGAGACTGAGAATGTGTTGATAGTGGTGCTAAACAATTTAGATTGTAAATATAGGAGGTGGAGAAGGTTTGTAAGCACGTTGAGTATAAACAACCTGTCTGATTCCTAGGAGCTATTCTTCTGGGCCAGAGAGAAAGAGAGATTCTGGCCATCAACAATAATAATTGTGGTGGTGATAACAATAGCTAATTATACTGAAAACTTTTTATATGCCAAGAACTATTTTAAGTGAGTTTACATGTACTAATCCATAGAATCCTCTCATTTACCCTATTAAATCAATGTCATTTCCCCTACCTCTACGCAGGTAGAGAAACTGAGGTTCACAGGGGCTAAACATCTTGTCAAAGTCACTCTGCTTCCTCAACCCTGTTGTTTCATAATCCATAGGAATTGAGGAAGACCAGATAGGAGAGGGCTCTTGTAAGTTGTCCTGGCTAGAAATAACAAGGCTTGGTTGAACCCACGTCCCCTGCATTGGAAGGTGGATTCTTAACCACTGAACCACCACCAGGGAAGTCCCCTCCCCTCCTTCTTAAAATCAGAAAAGGCTGCCCTCTCTGGCATCTCATACTTCACAGTTAATTACACTTCAAACATCTCTCATACATAACCTCTCTAATTTTCTTTTATTCTTTCCCACTCTTGTCCAACTCCTGTACTTGAGAAAACACACTTCATTTTCCTTTTCTGTCATTCATCAAAAACTTTCAGAAATGTATTGAACACCTACCATGTGCCAGACACTATTCTAAGACCTTGAAATACGTCACTGAAAAAACAATCAAAGATGAAAATCTCTGACTTCAAAGAGCTTACAGTCTAATGGAAATTAGAGTTTTCTGCATCTGACTTCTAGTGTGCTTATGCCTTACTATGCTTCTTCCTTCATTAACCCCAACCCCTACCCCTAAAAAGGCTTCATAGAAGCCTTAGGACTCTGCAGAGAACAATTTTAAATCTTTTAATTTTAAGTTGAGGCTTAGAAAAAAAATGCCTTGACAAAGATTATAGAATATAATTCCTGGGCATCTAACTCCCAGGTCAGTGCTCTCTGCTATACTTGCTGACTCTCCATGTCTGGTTGACCCAGATCTAAAACTGATAAAAATGTGCCTAGTATAAACTCTGACACGTAGTAATATGCATAAATATTTAGTGAATGATGAATGTATATGTGAGCAGTTCTACTCATATACTTAGATCGAAGAAAAGAAATTGTTTTGAGATAAAATTGGAGATATTTTAGAGTGTCAGAATTCTCCAAATTCTTTGATTGTGGCTCAGAAATTTTCCTCATAATCTCAATAGAAGACTCATTGTGTGTTATTGCCTATCTAATTATCTAATTAGAGCTGGTTTCCTCAATTCCTGACAGTTAATAAATAAAGGAATTATTTATAAGTTTATCTTTTACTTTTTTGTGTGACTGTATTATAATTTGTATCCTTGCAGGTTGTTCATTTGCTGTATTTTAACTGCATTCGGTCTTAAAAAGGATATTGTGAAGTGACCTGTAAAATGAACATTTCTATGGGTAAATGTAGTTGACATCCAAAACAATTAACTGATTTATGGACTGTCTTTTGAAATGCAACCAAGTCATAAATGAGGAAACTAATTGTAATTGACTTGGAGACAGTGTAATCTGAAATCTGACCAATTAAGTCAAAAGCAAGCTATGAATTCATCTTTCTTACCCAATGTTTTCGTCTCTGATGAATGTAGATAAATCAAAGGAAATCTGGTTGAAGAGGTGCTGGTAGGTACTAATGATGGAAATGATTGTGATGGTGTAGGGCAGCTGAATGAAGCCACCAAGTGTTTACTCTCATAAGAGGAAAAATTAAACACTTGGTGGCTTCATTCAACTGCTCTATGCCATCACAATCATTTCCTTAACCTGGGAATTCTGGTTTTCTTTAATTAACAGTAATCTTTTGATGTTCCAACTACCTGCCCTTTGTTGCAAAGCTCCTATATATCCTAGCTTCCCCCTCACCTCCTCAGAGCAGTTCTCTCAGGGTTATTTGAGATGCTGCATCCTGGGCTTGAAGTCCTAAAATTTCCTGCCAAATAAAGCGTAACTCTCAACTTTTAGGTTGTGAGTATTGTTTTAGTTGGCTATATATATATATATATATATATATATATATATATATATGGATAGAGAGAGAGAGAGAACTGAATCACTGTGCTGTACACCTGAAACTAACATGACATTGTAAATGAACTATACTTCAATTAAAAAAAACTAAAAAACAGAAAATAAAAACAAAATAAAAAAGAGGAAAAAGTATCTAAAAAGGAAATTAAAAATTGCTTATATTAACCCCACTTGGCTTGTATGTTTAAGAGAAATAGGAAGATAAAATGCTTCTTTAGAGAGATTCGGCGCTGATGTGTAAGCAAGTTCATTAGGGTAAATGTCCACACAGGAGCATGGAACTCTTTAGAATGAGAACTAGGCCAGGAAGGGGAGGATTCTGGAAACTATGTAGCTATGATGATATTCCTGTGAAGGTAGTACTAGTTGGACAGGTTGGAAGAAACAGATTCATGTGCATACAGGATGTGAGGGGAGGAGGCAGCTAGTATTGCTGGGGACCAGTCAGAGCTATCTTGGTGAGTAGAATATGTAAATTAGAGTGTTGTCCAAATACTGACTTCTCAGTATCTAGTAAGTCCTGAAAAATAATGTTCATAGAATACAAACAGGAGTAACCAGGCGTAAATGGCATACTGTATGTGTATAGTGGGTTAGATTTTATTTTTAAATTATCTTTCCCTTGATTCTTTTCCAGATATGGATCAACTCATAAACAACTTGGAGGTCCAACTTAATTCAGAAGGTGGCTCAAAGCATATATTCAAACAGGTCAGTTATCAAGAAAATGAGATACTAATATTGAGCCATAATAGTGTTGAGTATCTGGTAATTGTCATAGAGCTGAAGCTCATTTTTCTTTCTAACAACATGTTGGGTGCTGAGAAGGGGTGAATGAAGGGAGGTTTCCAGGAGGTACCTGGATGCCTGGGTTTCTGGTTCAAATAGGGAGTAAATCTGGCGTAAAAGAAGCATAGCCTTTGGGATCAAGGCTATAGGGACAAGATTACACACTTCGTAGACAACAGCAGTCATTTATCTAGCACTAGTTCATATTTGGGGCATTCTGAAGACTAAATGCAATGCCTTATTTAATCCTCACAATAACTGTTGGGTAGTGTGTTAGTCAGGGATCTCTAGATAAACAGAACCACCAGAATGTGTATTTCTCAATTCCTCTCTATCTATAGATATACATAAAATATGTATCTATCTATATCTATCTACTGTATCTATATCTATCTGTCTATATATATAATTAGTATATATATTATATAAATATATATCTTTACATATAAAATAAAAATATATCTATATCTATAGATCTATCCAAATATATCTATATCTATCTACCTATCTATAGAGAAAGAATGTTTAAATATTTATTTTATTGAAGTATAGCTGATTTACAATGCTGTATTAATTTCTACTGTACAGCAAAGTGATTCAGTTATACATACATACATATATATATATATATATATATATATATATATATACATTCTTTTTCATATTCTTTTCCATTATGGTTTATCACAGGATACTGAATATAGTTCCGTGTGCTATACAGTCTTTGTTGTTTATTCCTTCTATATATAATAGTTTCCATCTGCTAATCCCAAACTCCCAATCCATCCCTCCCCCACCCTCTCCCCCTTAGCAACCACAAGTCTGTTCTCTATGTCCCGGATATATGCCCAGGAGTGGGATTGCAGGATCATATGGCAACTCTATTTTTAGTTTTTTTGAGGAAACTCCATACTGTTTTCCATAGTGACTGCATCAGTTTACACTCCCACCAACAATGTAGGAGGGTTCCCTTTTCTCCACACCCCAGAGAGAGAAAGATTTTAAGAAATTGGGCTCACATGATTATGGAATCCTAGTGTATCCAAAATCTGATGGTGTAGGCTGCCGAGCTGGAGAGCCATAGAGGTTTTACAGTTCTAGTCCAAAGGCAGACTGTTGGAAGAATTTGTTCTTCCTTGGAGATCAGTCTGTTTATTGAAGCCTTCAAGTGATTGGATGAGGCCAACCCACATTATGGAGGGTAATCTGCTTTATTCAAAATTCAATGATTTAAACGTTAATCTCACCCAAAAAAACTTCTTCACAGAAACATTCAGAATAATGTTTGACCAAATATCTGGGCACCTGGCCCAGCCAAGTTGACACATAAAATTAACCATCACAGATATGTATTCTTAATGTTCCCATTTTACAGATAAGAAAGTTGTGACCTTGGTCATTCCCGAACAAGGATTCAAAACAGATTACCTGGTTTTTACAGCTAAGCACTCTGTGTTAGATGTTGAAGTCCCATCTTGCTCAGGGTTGAGTTCTAATGTTATTGCATAAGTGAAAACCAAATACAGTCAAAATTATCCTTGAAAATCCCTTAAATTGCCTGTAAAATTGAGCATACAGTTTTGTGTATCCAGTACTGATCTGTTTCTTTACTTAAGTCACCAGATAAAGTATCTGGCTGACATTTAGGGGTCATATTTTAGAAAAAAAATGTTTTTAATCATTAAGTGCTTTGCCTTTGGTGTACAATTGAATTTGTTTGTTACATGTGCATATGGATGAGATGCCCTTATACTGTTTTAATGACATTAAATCCAATGCAATGTCTTATTTACCTTACTTGTAGCTGTTGCCATTTAGGAACTATTAGCACATCAAAAGTTGCTAATTATTGCAAAACTTCTGCTGGTTGCGGGTGCTTTGTTGTAGTAAATACTAAGAGGAAGCTGAGTATAAGTGTTGGATAAAAATCGATTAAACTTGTAATAAAAAAATTCAGTGAAATGTTGTCAAGCATGCATAGCTATCTTATTTTGAAATCTCAGTACACCTAAATACAATTCAAAAAATGTTTTTCCATGTGTTAAGTAGAGTAAGGTTCCAAAATTTGAGGTCACTTTGAAATTAGTGCAATGTATAGAAAATTCTGGATAGTAGATGATCTAAGCATTTTTTGTTTTGTTTGTTTCTTGCCATTTCCAAGATATCTTGTTTTTAGTAAAGCTAGGGTACTTGTGGTACATGACCAGAAAACACTAACCATGTCCCAGGCCCAGAACTTGTGTTCTATAACAGTACAATGCTGGCAACATCTTAGTGGGCAAAAGCCTCCTAGTTTGGTTCATTACATGATTTGTTTATGTCATGAGGTAGGATTGGTGGATGGGTGTCTAGCTCAGTACACACATCCTGCTCTCACTTCTTTGAATTCCTACATCACCATACCATATAATGAATGAGTACTTGCTTGTCACCTGCCCTTTGTTTATGGTTTCTGATTATTTCCCAGAAGTAGGATTTCTTGGAAAAAATGTATGAGCATATTTAAGGTTCATATTGTATCATACATATCTTCCCCCCTCCAACTTAATATTGTTAACATTTTGGCACATATTTTCACATAGTTGAATATATTCTCTCTCTTTCTCTGCCTCTCTCCCTGTGATTCTCTCCCTCTCTCTCTCTCTTTTTCACTTATTACCTTTGAAAGTAACTTGCATCAAGAAACTTCAAGCCTAAATAATTCATCATGCATCACTTACAAGTAATGACATTCTCCTACATAATTACATCAATACTAATATACCCAGGAAAATTAACAATGTTTCTATAATATTACATAAATGGGTCATTCATTTCTCAATGGTTCTCAGTGCCACATTTTCCCATACCATTCTTTCTTTCTGGAATGTGTTTCATTCAGCCTGTTTAATTTACCATATCACACACTTTCTGTAGGACCCAAATTCTAATTTCATCTCTTCCATAAAAAACTTTCATTGATAACCCCAACTCTCACTAATCTCTAGTGCTCTGAACTCCTGGAATGCTAAATTATCTGTATCAGTCACTCATGTGGCTCTGTTTATTACTTGTTTTCTAATTGTCAAGAGCTTCATGTAAATATCTCATTTACACAGTGATATTCTTTGTCTCCCAAACTTCAGTTACTTGTGTACCACTTTCACAATTTCTGCCATATCCCTATCATCAATATTATTTACTTACTTAAAAAATTAGATCAGTAAAAATAAATAAATACCTATATTAGTTTTGTCCTAAGCAGTCTGGAGAATTTTGGGTTTGATGTGGGGTATTAGTTTCCTAGGGCTGCCACAACAAATTACTGCAAATTGGGTGGCTAAAAACAACAGAAATTTACAGTTCTAGAGGCCAGAGGTTCAAAATCAAGGTGTTTTGAGTGCCTCAAACCATCCCAAGGCTCTAGGGAAGAATCTGTTCCTTGCCTTTTCCACCTTCTGGTGGATGCAGATGTTCTTTGACTTGTGGCCTCAGCACTCCAATGTCTGCATGCTTTTTCATATTGATTTCTTCTCTGAGTTTCTATGTGTGTCTCCTCTGTGTGTCTTTTTTTTTTTTTTACATCTTTATTGGAGTATAATTGCTTTACAATGGTGTGTTAGTTTCTGCTTTATAACAAAGTGAATCAGTTATACATATACATATGTTCCCATATCTCTTCCCTCTTGCGTCTTGCTCCCTCCCACCCTCCCTATCCCACCCCTCTAGGTGGTCACAAAGCACTGAGCTGATCTCCCTGTGCTGTGCGGCTGCTTCCCACTAGCTATCTATTTTACGTTTGGTAGTGTATATATGTCCATGCCACTCTCTCACTTTGTCACAGCTTACCCTTCCCCCTCCCCATATCCTCAAGTCCATTCTCTAGTAGGTCTGTGTCTTTATTCCTGTCTTACCCCTAGGTTCTTCATGACAATTTTTTTTCTTAAATTCCACATATATGTTTTAGCATATGGTATTCGTCTTTCACTTTCTGACTTACTTCACTCTGTATGACAGACTCTAGGTCCATCCACCTCATTACAAATAGGTCAATTTCGTTTCTTTTTATGGCTGAGTAATATTCCATTGTATATATGTGCCACATCTTTATCCATTCATCCGATGATGGACACTTAGGTTGTTTCCATCTCCTGGCTATTGTAAATAGAGCTGCAATGAACATTTTGGTACATGACTCTTTTTGAATTATGGTTTTCTCAGGGTATATGCCCAGTAGTGGGATTGCTGGGTCATATGGTAGTTCTATTTGTAGTTGTGTGTCTTTTATAAGGTTATTTGTTATTGAATTTAGGGCCTGCCCGAATAATCAAGGAGAATCCCCTAATCTGGGGATTAGGGCATGAATATATCTTTTGGGGGAACCATTCAGCCCACTACAATGTGTTATGTATATACTTTTCTAATATGTAATAAATAAATATATAACTATTTAAATAAAATAATTTATCTATGCACCAACCAAAAACAATCTTAGATGTTCTAAGGAAGAAAAAATGTTTCATCTTATTATCAAATACCTAATACACATATGCATACATGCATACATATGTATATACCTACATATATGCATTTCTGACCTCATTTTGCCTGGATGTAGCTGCTACTATGCTTGATACTTTTTCCCAGTCCCTTAGGATTGCCTACTTCATTAGTTTGTACAAATTGATTAATTCTTTTGTCTTACAGTGTTTCATTTCCTGATGCTATTGTGATGGTGGGAAGTAAAATTTGAATTCCCTCTAGGTTTAGATGAGGTCTAACTTTCTAATAATATCCAACTCCATCCACCTCTCCTTTCTCTAATACCCAAACACATGATGTCCTTATTGGAGAAGGACTGGAGATTCAGAGGGTTAAAGTGACTTTTTATTTAAACAATGAATGTGCACATATATGTGCATACATGTGTACCTGGGCATGAA